TCAGCGATTGCAGGGTCTGGGAGAGCAAAAACCGTGCATTCTAACCAAGGGACTGGCAGTTTGTCAAGCAAAAGAGTTTCTTGAACGGCGTTGGAGGCCCTTCGTAAACAGGAGTGCAAAAGTTGTGGGCATTGTGCAAGAACAAAGGCATTTGATGAAAGTACCTGCGCAATCTCTTGAAGGAGATCTTTTTTCTTTTTATCATCAACATCCAAGCGGCCACTGATAAGCTTCAAATCTTGAAGCAGATGAAAAATCTCGATTTTTTCAGAGAGCAATCTTCTCTCTAGGAAATGATAATTTGTTAAACATGTAAACAAAACCTCCAGAAATCTCATTACTCGGGCTTCCGTAGAAAAGCTCGAGTCTTAAAATGCAAGCCGTTTCTTTGTCGCCAAAAGGGGGGTCATGGTCCCAGGCGTTCCTTGCGTAAACCGCGGAAACTGGGGATGAGAGTGCGACAACTTGTGTTGTCATGTGCTCGCTTTTCGTAAACAACGCGATTTACAGTTGACTAAAATGGTAATGGAAATGTATCTAAGGCTCCAGCTGTGGCATGATGGTATATTTTATAAAGAATATCAGCCAGAATTAATATATACTCAAATGCGATAAAAAATGTTTTGCCAAAAGTTTAATATTTAAAATCATTCACCGAAGTAGAAGTGAATAGTTGTTCTAGTGTATACCAGGAAGCAGACCTAAAAGAAAACAGTTTATTTCTATAAATGTACTGAAAGGTGGTCGGAAAGTAAACCCTTGACGCGTGATTTTGTCGTATCGGCCGGATCGGAGGTAAATAGTACTTGCACATCGTGATCGCTCCGCGATGGCCATGAGACATGTTTTTTTCAAAGTAATCATTAGTGAAATAAGCAACAAATCAATTCCGCCAGAAGATCATTTCATGTTTATGGTGATGTCCATTCCTACATTCCACTACGTGATGGGTTTTGACAGATTATAACAACTTGTCCAGATGTAACTCTCAGGAAAGATTCGGTAATGCAATTACGGTCGATATCAGCTCTCCCATACTCAAAAGTCGAGTCTACGTAGCCCATGGCAACGTAGAATCCTTGGTATCATGTCCGTGAGTCCATCGGTGAACATTCCCATCTTTCGTGGCGGCCTTAATATCATGTAAAGCCGCCACGAATGATGGAGTGCAAAAGTTGTTACAGGAAATCGTTTGGCAAAATGGCTGAAAGCAAATTTCAATGTTGTTGTTGTGCCCAAAATTCACTCCTTGAATCTATCGCTCAATCACTCCTTTGCACTTCTCCTTTCCACTCATGTAGATCACAGACGCCTTGCTCTCCTTCTTTTGTTTAANTTTTTTTTCTGATGATTCCTTTCGACGTTATTATCATATTGGAACAATAAAAAGAAGGGGTCACCGGACTTGTTTTCATGCAATAGCTTTCGTGAGTTTAGCAATTTCCACGCGCGTTCTCGCGCATTTAAAAATCTGGATTCTATAAGATCGACATTTGCTCATGATCTGTTTTAGCTACCGCTGACAATTGCGTGTGCTCGCGCGAGCACCTACGATCTGATGTTTACAGACGTTTACTGCTAAGAAAATCATTAAACAGCCGTCAAAGACAGCCTCCCGAGCTCATCTTAAAAATCCTACACATGACTTCTGGCTATATCATATTATTTTCCTTGAAGTTTCAAAGTCTTCTTCCACTTCAGGTAGATTATCCTTCACTTTAGTTCTTCTTTTTTCGCCGTCGCAAGATTTCATATCGGTTGAATATTTCTTTTAAATGTGAAGTGAAGCAACCTTTACTTCTCCGAAAATCGTCTTCGTTATCTTAGTTTCTATCTCCTGCATTCACAGTGGCCGCTCAACACATCAAATACAAGCTCTTAGGTAAACTTCTCACAAAAGTAGAAAAAATTCCACGCGCCGCCATCTTTGTTTTGAATTTTCATCTTCTGATCTCGCGCTTCTTTCGCACGTTTCTCTCACGCGCGTCACGCAAGAGTGACCTGTTCCCCGCGCGAGGAAACTGGTACGAGCCACCTTAGGGGGAACCAAATATGTCAAAATCTTCGCATCGTTTGTACGTGGAGTCAAGAGAGAGAGAGTCGAGCTCAATTTTAGCAGGGAAGTGGTGGTTTTGATTTTAGTTGCACAATCGTTGCCATTTTCGCAGCATTTATTGACCATTTTGCTCAGAGCTATGTCTAATTTTGGTTGCTCTATCCGGTTTAAGTAGCAGTTTTCGACGAATCGGTAACATGTCATGGCCACACCACTGATTTTATGAGTCACATTACCTCGATTGCTTCCATCTGTATCACCTTAAGCTCTGCAAAATGAACCCCCTATGGGTTTACCTTGTGCGTAAAAGACCTTTTTAGCTAAAAGCAGCCCTTGAGAAAGGGTCTTGTAAGAGAAAAGGCCCGGCTCGTAAGAGGATCTTTCGAGACCCACTGTAAAAGACAAAGAGGACCGTAGACTTGCGTACCCGTTGGGTGTCTATCATATTTTCGTCTAATTTTGTTAAATAGAATTTAACATGATTAATGACTGGGAGCTTATCTGGTCAGTAGCATTTTGCTGGCGTACTGTTAGCGTATTAGCCTTCTGTTAGCGTTTGCACCGCGTTTGTGTGTGTTCGGTAGCGTTTGCAGCAGCCATGTGGTTATCGGTGACCTGGGGCGGTCTTGTCCAGCGGTTATCCGTATCATTGCATGCATTTTCTCCCATGTGATTGCATTGTGCTGGCTGTATTATAGCATTCCCTCCCTCCGTTCTCCAATTGCTTTTTTTTCGTTCAGGATTTTTTATCTGGTTTTATATTTGTGACAGCATCACTTACGCTTATTTTCTACTTAAAACATGTTAGCTCTGTTTATTTCATTTTATGGAATTTTAGCGATTTGTCAGTAATGTTAGTAATGTGTTAACTGTATTAGTAATGTGTTAATTGTATTATTCCTTTAACTGCCGATTTCCCTTGTGCAATTCCTGTTTAAATGCCCATTTCCCTTATGTAATTCCTGTTTAATTAACCGCTCCTAGCCCAAATTTGGTTTTAAGTTATTTTTACCTTTTCCTGTATTTTACTATAAGTTACAACCGTTTGCTCGGTGAGTTCAGTTGATTTGTTGCCTTCCTGAGAGTGCCCTTAAAGCGGATTCTAAGCTATACTAGCTTTTGGTATGTTTCAGTATTTTATGTTTGTTTGAGCCCTAAGCTTAGCATGTAGTTGTTTCCATTTGTATTTTTGTAGTGATTTTCGGGTTAGAATTTGCTTAGTTTAGCCACATACTC